CTCCCCCTTGGCAGAAGCAGGAAGATGCTGTGGAAGCTCTCCTGTGCTGTGGTTTGTCTGGAGCCTGGAGCTTACCAGTTTACACTGGTGGCCACATGCAGTGTTCTCAGTGCCAAGAACCAGGCTGGTCAGTGCAATGTCAGACTGTTTTGTCAAATGCAGAGTGGCAGGAAGATAGCAAGTGTGGGCTTCAGTGCTGCTCTCTTCAGTAAGAGAGCACTGCCTCTGCTCCTCTTCCCCATTTGGTTTGAAGTGTGCAAGGTACTCTCAGGTCCTCCACATCTCTTAAACTAGTAAGTTTTGAAATACAAAAAATAATAGCTGTGTAATAACCAGCATAACTGGCAGTAAGAGGGGTAGATAATATTAACTAAGGGAAAGGGCTTCACAGAATGCCCCCTCTCCTCACTGCCTGAATGGGGGAGTCATTTTCCTCTAACCCTGTCAATGCCTGCCAGCACCTGGGCTTCCAAACCACAGAAGAAATTTCTGTTTCCCTTCTCTGATCCTAGAAAAGTCCTCTGCTCTCCATCACCTCTGAAGTTTCTTTGTGGGTTGGCTCCCTGATGTAAGCATATCCTCCATCTACATCTGTTCACTTCTTGCCTGGTCTTCTCTGTGCTTCAGCAGCTGTCCCCCACTTATGTGCACTTTGTGTCCCAAGCAAGACACCACCCTCTCCCTCTCTTCCAGCTCCTTTCTGAGCTGGGTTACAGAGGCCAAGGTGAGCAAGGTAGGGAGGCTTGCACATTGCTCTGCTCAAGAATAAGAGGAAGAGGAAGGTATTGTCTGCAGTATCTGTTCTCCAAACTGGAGACAAGTTAAAGAGTTGATTGTTCTACCCTGCTCCATCATTTGAAGTCAGTCCATAGAGGTGTCTCTTGCAGTTATGATGGCTCTGACTCAGTTTCCTGAATTTTCACTCTTACCTCTACTATTTTAATAAAGGAGGAGAGTGGCACAAACTGAATCAGTGAAAAATTGGTACTGGTACTATCAACCCTGAATAATCCAACATCAATATTCTTTCACAAGGAATTTTTTTTTTTTATTGTGGTGGTGAAAGCATAAGGGAGAACAGGTATTTATATCTTCCCCATAGCCTCAAATAGAAACCAAACAGTACAAAATTTTAAAGCGATATTACAGATCATCGATATCTCCTACACTAAATCTTATGAAGCCCAAACTGTTTGTTTTAAATTGAACAATTGCAGTAATTATGTCTCATTAAGGGAACAAGTAAGACTGAATTGTGCTAGCAGTTAACTAGTGATTTCCAGTGCATAGCTGAAAATTGAGAATTTCCAGCTGCCTTAACTCTTCTGAAAGCAAATGAAAAACAGTTGGATGAACAGAGTTTAAATTCTAGCCTGGAAGAAATGACAGATTATTGTCAAGACCCATCAGTGTACAGGACACAAACAAACTTCTCTTCTGAGTGAACTGCAGGCTCTTTAGAAGGTTTGGTTTTACCTTCAGATTGAAATCTCAAGAATGTTAATGAGAAAAGCAATCCATCTTTTCCCTATCAGACAAGGCAGGACTGCTTGTAATCCCTGAAAAACGAGCTTGTGTTTTTTCATGGTCACTTTGATTGATCTCAAATGTATCTTCTAGTTGGTATGCTTGATTTAGGGCTTTGCTATTTACAGGTGAGCAACCACTACTCCATTCTACACTTGCTTGGGCTTATTTAAAATTCTAGGCTTACTTACAATATATATCTGTCTCTCTGAAATTACTTTGTAATTACTGAAATGTATGTTCATTTTAATTGTTCATTACTGCTTGTTAAAGTAAAAAATAAAAACTGCTAAACAAAAGCAATATTTTAGTGAACTTCAAACTATGTGTGCCAAACTTTTTACATACTTTTTTTCAAGGGGTTGGATAAGTGTCTTTAAGTGCATGAAAGTGTTTAAACTAAATGGTGCAGGGAACCCATGTATGTGTTTCTAGCTGGCAATGTAAATCCCCTAGTGAGCCAGAGTAGTATGAAAGCAGCACTTGAAAGCCAGATGCAATGAAAATTTAAACATATTGCATTCATAGCATGTGATAGTTTAATCATTATTTAAGCTTTAGAAATGTCACAGCATAATTACTTTCAGAATGAGTACAAACACTTTCATGCACAAAAATTGCTTTCTTCTTGCAACTTTTGTTTCTCATGGGAAACTTATGCCTTTGTGAAATTTCTGAACTTGATCTTGTTCATCACTTGATCACAGAAAAATTCTCAGTAAAAATTCAAAATCCAAAAGATTGAAATAAACCTTACAGATCTTTTTAGAACTAAGAATGTATTTTCTTTATGCTCTTAAAAAAAAAAAAATCTGTGAAAGTATTTCTTTCATTAAAGAATAAATTTTGCAACAAAACCAGTTAAATGGAAAATGCTACACAAACCCTATTTGCAGAGCCAGGGAATGGAAAGTACCAAAGGCTGGATTTATAAGCACACATAGAGGATTAAATTCAGCTCTCCTGTGGATGTGATACATTTTTACTGCCCTCACAGCATACACAGAGCTCTACCTTCTTCTGTACTTGTAAGGAAAATACAGGGACCAGAACTCATGTTCTAAATTTGCCCAGTATCTCGAATGTTCTGATGAATGCTGTTGATTTTGCAGTATAAATTATGTTGATATGTAAAATAGTGTCAAAATCCCAGTCTACATTTAGATGCAAATACTTCCTCTTTACATAGCCTACTACGATTTGTTTATAATATGAGCAGTTCAGGTTGGATTTGGAAAATAGCAGTTATAATGGTTCTGCCATTTCTGAGAAATTGGCTAGAGGAAAAAATACTCTCTGTGTAATTCGGGGGTGGGGTTGTTTGCACGTTTTCTAAGTGGAAATCTTTTTGGAACAGCTTTACATCCTCATAGCAAAGATTTGAAGGTCATGAAAACTGCCTTTGTATCAGGAATGTACTGAAAGTTATTTCTGGTAAATTCATTGGAATTTTTCCATTGTGAGTCTGTTTAAAACTGAACTTACCACATGTTCTGTAGGAGCAAAATCACTGTAATCATTTCACATCTCCTAAGGCTTATGTCACCTTCTGTGCTCTTGTGAGCTTGTTAGTGCTAACCAGAAGATGAACCTGTCATCCCTGTGGAGCCACAGAGTGTGCTACACATGACAGCTGTTGGGTTGAAGGTAACCTATGCAATGGCCAAGGTATAACCCTTTTTCCTCCTCTTGTATTTCACCTCCTGACCCAGACACTGAAAGAGACTAGTATCAGTGAAGAGAGAGAGAGGATTAAGTGTGTATTCTTTAATGTAGCTCTGTGTATCATAGAATCATAGAATGACAAAATGGCTTGGGTCAGAAAGAATCTTTAGGATCATCTAGTTCCAACCCTCGAGCTGTGGATTGGCATATCTTCATCTAGACCGGGCTGCTCAGGGCTCCATCCCATGTGGTCTTCAACATTTCCAGGGATGGGTTATCCACATCTTCTTTGGACAACTTATGCCATTGCCTTACCACCACAGGGAATAATTTCTTCCTAACAGTTAATCTAAAGCTACTCTGTCACAGCGAAGCCATTGTGATGCCACTACATGCCCTTATAAAAAGTCTCTCTCTGTCTTTCTTGTACGTTCCCTTCAGGTGCTGGAAGGCCACAGTTAGGTCACCCTAAAGCCTTTACTTTTCCAGACTGAACAATCCCAATTCTCTTAGCCTTTCATCACAGGAGAGGTGCTCCATCTAACTTAGTGGCCCTCCTCTGGACTTGCTCCAACAAATGTTCTTCCTATGCAGGGATCTCAGAGCTGGATGCAGCACTGCAAGTGGGGGTTTAAGCAGAGCAGAGCAGAGGGACAAAATCCCCTCCCTCACCCTGCTGCCCACACTGCTTTGGATGCAGCCCAGAACATGGTTGGCTCTGTGGGCTGTCAGTGCCCATGGCTGGGTCATGTCCAGCCATTCCAGCACCCCCAAGTCCTTCTGGGCAGGGCTGCTCTGGATCTGTTCATCCCCCAGCCTGGGTTGATACCAGGGTTTACCCTGATCCAGGAGTAGCACCTTGCACTTGATCTTGTTAAACCTCGTGAGATTCCCATGCACCCACTTCTCAAGCTTGTCCAGGTCCCTCTGGATGCAATCCCATCCTTCAGGTGTGGCAACTGCACCACTCAGCTTGGTGTCATCTGCAAATTTGCTGCAGGTGCACTTGATTCCTTTGTGGAAAAATTGGGAAATTTGCTATGTGCATGTAGTAAGCTAAATCACTTGTACGTGAACCTAATGAAGATTAGAACATGTTTTAGTTTCACAGAACTACTAAATAACTGTGGAAAGTATTCATGGTCCTGACATGCCCTTCAGCCTGGCAGCCCCGTTTCAGGCTCGCTGCCTGTACTTGGCTCTCCTGTTATGCAGTGCTGTAGTGGGGAAGATAAGATAGCTGAAAAACAGTCGTCAAAGATTCACTGAGATTAGGGTGTGTCCCGCATGATGAGAAGAGCAATTAATATTTTAAAGGCTGCCATCCATCCCTACAGGCACCAAAGTATTACATCACTCTGTGTACAGGACAGTGGCAGTAATCAATACATCTAATATGCTGGGGGCTCAGGGAGGGACAAGTTAGCATTTCCCAGGCAGAATGACTGGATATAATTAAGAGAAATAAACAAAGCTTATCCTTAGGGGGAAAAACCCCTCATCAACTATTCTGAGTTGAAAAGCAGGAGTTCTCTACCAAATAGTATGGTTAGATTTGTTCAGGCATAGAATTTCTTCACCAGGCAAAATGATACATTTCTTGCAAAGAAAGCAGTTTGGTCTATTGCTTGAACATGATGACTGAGTGGTAAGGAAACAAGGTAATGCATGTATTTTTATTACTGAAAAGTCAAATTCTGAAAATCTGAAGGAGATACATCTGATAATTTCAAGACTCACTTGACAGATAATACAGGTATGCTCTTTTACTGAGGCTTTCTGACTGCTCTCAAATCCTGTCCCCACAGGGCCCAGCTTCCTCTCCCAGAGTGCACTCCAGCTCAATTCCAAACCTGAAGGATCTTTCCAGTACTCAGCCAGCTACCACAGCAACCAGACCCTCGCCCTGGGCGAAACTGCATCTGCCCAGCTCCCGTCCCGCAGCAGTCAGGCAAGAGGTGCCATCCAGAGCTACAGCCAGGTATGTGTCCTAAGCAATCGTGGTCTCTCACACCTGAAATTGTGTGGAGCTGCCAGGAAAGAGCTGTTCAGTGCTTCTCACACCTGAATTTCTGCCTTTACTTTCTGTCTTGTTTAACACACCTGCAGCAGGGTGGAGTTACTATCTTGATTTTTCTAAATCTCAGGTGGGTTGACTTGCATAGTAATAAAGTAATCCTGATTATCAAGGAGATCTGCATACCAGATTAACTTAATGGTTGGATATATATTTTGGTAATAGCATGTTCAAGCATTTAGTTTTCAAAGCAAATTCCTGTCCCTGTGCTGATTAGGAGTCCATTGTAAAGTACAGGACATGCCAGCATTGCCATATTACTGAAAGCAGTAAGTGCCAGCAAACAGAAAGAAAGCCAGGCTGACACCAGATGTGAAATCTGCCTGGGACACCAGGCATCACATGGTGCTATGGCCTCATCTCAAGTGTAGGAAACGTTTTTTTCACCACATATAGTAGGACTGTGGCCTCTACATTTGAAACATTTTGAAAGATTATCTCAGATACTCATGAAAACTTTGTAAATCCCTCTACCTGTCTAAACCATCTCTCCTGGTCTCACCTTCTGTGCTTTTCACTGTGATATCAAAGCCTCTCAGGGGAAAGTTAAGCTTCACTTTAGACAAAACCCGTTCATGCCTCTGTACCTAAACAAAGTCTAACTGGCTTGTGTCGGTCAGCACTGGTTGTTTTCTCTGTTTAGATGCTAACCATCCTAGCAAAGCAGATCATCTCAATGTGATACCAGGACATTTTGCAGTTCAGGATTCTGTACAAGAGAGTAGTTATTTGAATTTCAAAGCCTTAAATTGCTAAGAGATTTCAAGTATTAGAGTCATTGCACAGTTTGTGAGATACTGAGACACATACAATATTCTATTCTCTCCATTTTCTCAGAAAAGCTCCCTATTCTGTAAGACTGAAAAATGAAATAAACCACAGTTAAATTAAATTTCAAATTTTGTAGGTAAGAACAGAGTCCAAATATTAACCCAGCACTGGCCATCAGTGAATCATGTCCCCAACTGCCACTTCTGCATGTCTTCTAAATACCCTCAGGGATGGTGACTTGACAACCCCTTCAGTGAAAAAAATTCTTCCTGATGTCCAACCTGAACCTCACCTGGTGCAGCTTGAGCCCATTTTCTCTTGTCCTGTTGGTGGTTGCCTGGGAGAAGGGACCGACCTCCACCTGGCTACAGTCTCCTTTCTGGCAATTGTAGAGAGCAATGAGGTCTCCCTTGAGTCTCTCTTCCTCCAGGCTAAACAACCCCAGCTCCCTCAGCTGCTCCTCATAAGATTTCTGCTCCAGACTCTTCACCAGCTCTGCTGCCCTTCTCTGGACATGCTCCAGCACCTCAATGTCTTTCTTGCATTGAGAGATCCCAAACTGGACAGAGGATTTGAGGTGTGGCCTCACCAGTGCTGAGTACAGGGTGATGATCACTGCTGTGGTCCAGCTGGCCACACTATTGCTGGTCCAGGCCAGGATGCCATTGGCCACCTGGATGCACTCCAAGATCATGCTCAGCCAGCTGTCAACCAGCCCCACCACGTCCTTTTCCACTGGGCAGCTTTCCAGCCACTCTTCCCCCAGCCTGTAGAGCTGCATGAGGCTGTTGTGGCCAAAGTGCAGGACCTGGCACTTCACCTTGTTGAACCTCATGCAGCTGGCCTTGGCCCATTGATCCTGCCTGCCCAGATCTCCCTGCAGAGCCTGCCTACTCTCTAGCAGATTGACACTCCCAGCCAGCTTGGTTTTTTTCTGCAAACTGATTGAGGGTGCACTCCATCCCCTTGTCCAGGTCATTGTTAAAGATATTAAACAACACAGATCCCTGGGGAATTCCACTTGTGGCAGGCCACCCACTTGATGCAACCTTTCACCGCCATTCCCTAGGCCCTGGCACCCAGCCAGTTTTTTACCTAGTGAAGAGTGCACCCAGCCATGCCATGGGCTGCCAGTTTCTGCAGGTGAATCTTGTGGAAAATAGCGTCATCTGGAGCTGTGATTTTTAAAAAGCATCATACCCTGGGGGTTAGCCTGAAAGACTGTAATGCACTCTTTAAGGAGGCTGGAAAAATCAGATGATGGAAATGGAGCAGGTTATGGGAGCAATTGAAAAAAAGTGGAAGTGAGAGAGGAAGGAGAAAGAATCTTTTTTTAAAAAAAGGCAGGAAGGAAAATCATGCAGATTTGTAATGGTTAGAAATTGATATATTCTTAATATAAATTCTGTTATCATCATTGATAGAAAAAAATATTTTATGGAGGGGGAAAATTAATTACTTAGATTTTTTTTTAATTGAAATTACACTGATCAGACACTGCTTAGATCTGAGAAGCTCTCATGAACCATCAACTTCAGAGAGAACTGGTTTCCTTCAGAAAGGTAATTAATCAGTTAGAAAGGCAACATTTCCTATCCTTTGTTTTTCTTGGTATGAGAGGACAGAAAAGAGTTTTTCTTTTTACTTTCATACACATTGTAGGATAGATATTCCTGCAGGAAAATATTTCAGAGAACTTAATTTTTCACACCATGATGCTGCAAAAGATGCCTGACAACTTCAGATGAATTAAAATATATTTTGAAAATACTAACAAACTGCCATATAAACTATTGATTAATACCATAAAAAATATTAAAGGGGTTTTAAAAGAGGTAGACAGAAAGAGGAAAATTCAAAAGTCAAAATTAAAAAATTCTGAATATGACCATTGCTGATCCCAAAATAACAGGGGAAAAAAAATTCAATCCTAAGAATTGTTTTGATATACTTATTATAATTAAAGTAAGCCTCAGGAGCTGAAGCTTCTCAGATTGTGATAATTTCCTTTGGTAGTTGTGTGCAATGAATATAGCTATCTCTCAACATGAATGATAGTCCAAATGCTTGCAAAAAAAAAAAAAAAAAATGTAAATAGTCCCAAGGCCAGCTGTGACAGCAAGAACAATTTGTGAAAAAGCAATTGTATAAAAAAGAGAAACTAATTAGTCTTGAGACTTCCTGTACAGTGTGGCAAAGTGCAATCTAACATTTTTGTCAATTTGGTGGAGTTCATTATAGATCACAGAGTTTTTCCAGTGCTTTGCCTCCTTCAGAACACAAAACTTTTATCTTCCAAATACTACTGGGATAGGATTTCTTAGCAAAAACTGCTCCTCTGGCAGGGAGTTATTCTGCTTCCCCACTGAAAACTGCTTTTTAAACTCAGTGTCCAACCAGGTTTAGTACAACCTTGAGAATTATCATTCTTATGATGCAGAAATATCAAAGGAGTATACAGTATAGCATGTACTAAAAAGAGTGCTTTTCTGCATGCTCTGCCATGTTTTTGTAAGGGGACAGGAAAAGAAGTTTACATTCTGGATGAGGACTTTAGCTGTTAGTAATGTTGCAGTCTTTTCAGATGCTGTGGCAGCAACACAGGTAAATCCCTACTGTGTATTATCCTGTGCACCTGATGCTTTTGGACTGAATAAGCTAGCAGAGAATTTGAAAACTTTAAAAACAAAAAAAAGTATATGGAAATTAAAGGTGATTAAAAAGTCTTGAAAACCCATTTTACAGTTAGTGTTCTAACTTGTCTCCTTTTCCTTATAAACAAGTTTATCAGACCACCACATCTCACTAGCAAATGAGTGCTAGAATGCATTAAGTTTTTAAGCAGAAACTGTATATTGGCTACAAGGTAACAGACTGCTTGCTAACCTACCCAGACAAAAGCTAAAATAAAGATTTCCCTTCTGGTAGGTATGGCCAATGATGATGTGTTTAATACCAAATTCCAAATATAAACATAATAATTTTTTTTTGTCATAAAGGAAACAAGATGAAATCTTAAGACAGATTACTCTTATTACAGCACTTGGAGAACACTTCACTAGTAGAGGTTTTGGCAGTGGAAATCTGCAATGCTGCTTTGATTCTACCATAGGTAATGACTGTCACATTCACTGCTGCTTTAAAACCAGAGATGGACCATCTCTGGACACTCTGAAAAGATCTCACACAATTCTGTTTGTGGATGTAGAAGACTACAATTACCTACCTTCATCTATATGTATGACCTTTGAGAGCAGGATCAGGTAGGCTGACAAATTTTCCTAACAGTGCTGGAATTTTGGAATGGAACAATGGAACAAAAATCAGGAGAAAGAGATGGAATAAGCCATATTTGAGGGATCCAGAGCTATAGTCTGGCATCTGTTATTGTATAAGAGCATTTGAACATAGGTAGGTAGCATCTTTCTAGTCAGGTCAGGAACTTACAAATTACATTAAAGCAGTCTTGCAGAAGAAAGCCCCTTCTATAGGTCCTGCCCAAAGACTGAAGGGTGCATTCCAAGACTAGAGAATGTTATGCAATTTCCATGCCCTCTTCTACCCTTTGTAAGAGTGTTGACTGAGGCACTGGACCACAGCAGAATGATGCCTTGAGTGAAGCCTTATGGAAGGTTCTTTGGACTTACAGGAAAAAAAGTAGCCCTCAAGAGACTGGCAAGTCTAGCCGTCTCTGAAAAAGCTCAGAGCATCACTGAGACTCTGAAACGGAGCTGTACCCGTGGAATATCTCTAGAAAACCCAATCAGGATGAACAAGTTTTCTGCCTAAAGCTACCAACACACACCAATAGTTAAAAGCCAAAGGGGCCTGGAGGGAGGTTTTCTACACAACTTGGAAAATCCTTCCTAAAATCAAAAAGAAAGGGTCTCCTCATGGACCACAGTGTACTGTATATGACTATGTCTGTATTCATCAGATGTGACTTGTTTGAGATTATGCAGGCAAAGAGATCCAGATAGCAAAATGAGCTGAAAACTGGCACTGGCATTTACTGCTAAACTAAAGTTCATCCAGACCTAAGATGGGCATGCAGACTTACTCAAACCTCTGCGAGCAATCTCCAAGAATCAATATACTGATTAATAATTAGCAGCTGGCCCCAAGGTTTCACTTAAAGTTGTCTTGCCATTTTGTAATTCCTTATCCATGAAAAATTTTCTGCAGAATAAGTAAGCCAACAGTTATTTGGCCCTCTCAATTCTACTCTATAGAACAGAAATCTTATAGTGCAGTCTTTTATTTACTCTTTCCTTGGTTAAAGTTCCAATTTAAGTTATCAATCGGATTGAAAAAAAAAAAAAAAACAAACAAAACAAAAACCACCCCACACAAGAACAACCAAACAACCAAAAACCACCACAAAAAAACCCAAGCCCCAAAAAACTAATTTCCTGGAATTCTGGGCATTAAATGCTTGAATGAACAGGCAAACAACAGTTGGACTGTTCTCTAGTCTCCTATAACCTAACTGGATACCCCAAATAATTTTCTGTATGAAGCTCTAAAGCTACTGTTTTGAATCAGTAGAAAATTATCTTAGTAACATTAAATGGGAAGAAAAATATTTTTATAACTGTGCTAATGTTCTCATGTTTTTTTCACACATTCCTGTTTCTAAAAAGGATATATCAGAATCCATATATTGAATCCAAATAAGCAAGGCTACTTTTTGTTGGGATGCCAGGGAAATGAAACCCCTGTGTCTTGGAAGAGATATTCATAGGGCTGTAGTAAGAAAATCCTTGATTTTTATTCACATCTATATAGATGTGAATAGAATGATGATAGAGAATATAATTACTGAGAAGCAAATTTGCTCTTAGTTTATTAGCTTCAACATGGTTTTGTTATCAGGTTGACAAAAATAATGGATAAATAGAAAAATATAAGGGAAAAATACCATTGTATTTTATTCTTCCATGTGAAGTATGTCACATTGAAGGGTGAACAATGACATGTCTTTATGTCTGCCTTAAGCCACAGACAGGGAGAAACACAATGAAAAACTAAACCACATTTTGTCTCTGAAAAGATGTGTGGAGAATGTTACTGCACACTTGGCCCTTTGAAAAAACCTAAGAACCTCACGGTACATTTAAGACAGGTCTGAGATTAGTCACATCCTAAAAAATGCTGCATGATAGTGTTTTCATTGCAATCTGTTCATCCATAAGTTCTCTCCTTCACACAGAGCAAATGCTTAGCTTTTTAGGAAGAGCTATATACTGCATTTTTAATTAAGCATTTAATTATTGTGTCCCACCACTACACCTTTTTCCCTACAACAATTCATCATGAAACGGGATTTTTTGGGTTTTTTTGAATTAGTGCTTGCAGAATGCCCGCAGCTTTATAGAGATTTATTAGGAATATGGGATAATACTGGTTTACTCGAAATTAATTACTCTAAATCCTTGACACATTAAGCAGTGTAGAAATAGATTAGAAAAAGAAATTTTGTATACATGATGACAGTGCTTGCCTAAAACCCTTAGGATCAACAGCAAACTGTTAAAATTACCAATGTGTTACCAGTGCGTTGAAGAAGTAAGTGGTGCACTGGTAACATTGCAGTAGACTGTATTTTGGAACACTGTTTATTACAAAATTATTATTATTATTAGTATGCCACTTAACAGTCCAAAAAGTAAAATGCATTAATAAATATCAATCGATAACGTAGCTAGTTTGAATGACATTTTGTTAAGTGCAAAATGTGCTCTGCCCATGTTGTCTTAAATCATGCCAACCTTTTTTTTGTTTAATGGAAGTTGTTACCATATAGTCTAAACCTGGAAAATGAAAACTGTACTCCTGTCAAATACATTATTGGACAGTCAGCTGAAGATTAGCCCTTCTTTCCAGTTTAAAGCATATACGGTAAGTAGCTCAGCATGAAAGTAGCTTTTAAAAGTTCGCTGATGTTCCCACAGTTTTCCTTCACAGTTTTACTTAGGAGCCTTTCAAATGAACAACTTGAGATTGTTGACCATTTTTGAGAATGTCATGACTTGTACTTGAAGCTGTGGTGTTTGTTACTTGCTACTGCAATCCGAACAGTCCAGCTCAAAAGAGAGCAGCTACTTCCATCTATGAGCCCCTTGCTCACCTGGCAGTCACCCTACAGAGCACCTGGAGTGGAACAGTTTACATTTCATTATGTGTAAAGCCATTGCTCTGCCAGGTGCAAAGCCTCAAAGCCAGGGAGGTTTGGGTCTGGCAGTGCTCTCTTAAGAAGCCTGAACAATGTCAGTGCTGGTAGCTTCTTCCATGCTACTGACAACTGGGAGCAAAGCTCCAGGAGGAGCTTTTCCAAAGCTTTGTTTCTTGTCTCTGTCTAGGAAAATACATATTCTTCCTCCAGACACAAAGCATTTAAGATGAGGGGCAGGCTCCAAAAGTAAAAAAAAGAAACATTTCCAGTGGGCGTACATAGGAAGAAGTACAGATTTCTGGCATTTTGAATCTTGTTTATTTTCTGCTCTGATTAGTTACGTTGTCCTCAGTTCCTGACCAAATCCTTTACTGAGTGCAAATAGTGCAGATAAACCAAATTTCATACCAGGAACATGGTGCTTTTGCGCACTTGTTTTTTTGTAGGATGCTACTGGAAAACCACATTGCTATTCAACGTATAACAATGCTACTGTTGGCATACTCAACACCTCTTTGAATTGAGTCACAAAATTCACTATTCACATTTTAAAGCTTCTTCTGGCTAAGGAAATCAGTAGCTGAGAGGCATGTGCGTGTGTTTGGGCAAAGCACCTCAGACCGATTCAAACTATGCTGTCAACTCCGAGGATCCACAGCACTTTCTGAGGTTTCAAGTAAATCCCCTGCCTAACCAGAAAAAAAAAAAAAAATAGTATCTGAATCTAACAGCGCATCTTCCAACAGAGCGCTGAGCTCTCATTCACTGCGGGGTGCAGTTATGAGAGGCTTTTAATGTTACCAGACTCACAGATGATCTCTTGAGCCTAAGATCCCCGATAAAAAAAAAAAAAAAGGGGGGGGGGGGGGGGGGGGACCGCCTGTGTGTGAGGGTGAGCTCCATCCTTTGCGCTTCAGAGGCGGCTCAGGCACAGAACCGAAACTTCTCATAGGCATTTTCTCCCGAGGATTTTCTCTCGCTCCCTCTCCCCAGCTCCCCTCAATTACTGGTCTTAGAGGGAGCTCAGCGCTGCCTTGCCCGCGGGTCGGTGCAGGGGGCTCTCTCCCTTCTCTATGCAGATTCCCCGCTGGATGCGGCCCAGGGAAGCGCCCGGCCCCGGCAGCTCCTCCCGTACCCCCCGCCCCCTTCGTGCCGCGTAACTGAGTACGAGGCGGCCGCTCGCCGTGCTGCCAGGGGGGCTCGGCGTGCGCCGGCCCGGGCTTCCCCTCCCTCCGCCCCTTCACCCAGGTCGGGGTCGCAGGGGGCAGCGAGCTTCTAGTGCGGTGCCTCTCCTCGTAGGACGCAGATTGCGGGAAACCGAGGAAAGTTACTCGATTAAAGGCTTTTCCGAGGCTTCGGCCGCTCTTCTCTAATGTATGCAGAATAAAGGGGCGAGGGTGTATTTATCTGTGTATATGTACGTACGTAAGTATTTGAGCCGGGCTAAACCCTGCCTGGTTTAGGAGTTGGCAGGCGAGCGCGTTCCGGAACCGGCGCCCCGGAACGCTGTGCCTCACGGCCGGGTGCCGGCTTCAGCCGTCGGGAGGAGTTTCGACGCCTCTCGGGCCGAGCCGGCCGCTGTTTTTTCCCTGAAAGGCCGGGAATGCTTTAGCAGATTACCGACTCCCGTAATCCCGCGGGCGTCGGGTGCCGGCCTGGTTCGAGGTCAGCGAGGGGGCTGCGTGCGGCCGGGGGGCTGCTCCAGCCGGCGGGCCCGCACCGCCCCGCGCAGCGCCGGGGGAGCCGGGCGCCCGCAGCCGCTGACGCCTCTGCCTTTCCTTCCCGCAGCAGGGCCCGGGGGGCCGCGGCGCCCACCCGGGCGGCCCGGAGCCGCCGCCGCCTCCGCCCGCCGCCCCGCAGCCGCGGGAGCCCTTCGCGCCCAGCCACGGCAGCGCCTTCCACCTGCCCGAGCCCCAGCACGCCGCGGCGCTCTACTACGCCAGCTCCACGCTGCCAGCGCAGCGGGTGAGCTCCCCGCTGCCCGCCCAGCCCGGCGGCTCCCCCACCAAGCTGCCGCGGGCCGGCTCCGCCGCCGAGGGCGCCGCCTACGCCACCGCGCAGCGCCTCTCCTCCCCGAAGCAGTCCCCCAGCCGCCTGGCCAAGTCCTACAGCACCAGCTCGCCCATCAACATCGTCGTCTCCTCGGCGGGACTGTCGCCGTCCCCCATCCGAGTGACCTCCCCGCCCACCGTCCAGTCTAACATTTCCTCCTCTCCTATCCACCAGTTAAGCTCCACCATCGGCACTTACGCCACCCTGTCGCCTACCAAGCGGCTTGTTCACGCTGCCGATCAGTACAGCAAGCACTCCCAGGAGCTGTACGCCACCGCCACCCTGCAGAGACCCGGCTCCCTCGCAGGTAAAACCGCGGCCGGCAGCGCCTCGGGTCCGCGGCGGGGACGGGGCTGCGCGGTGCCGCCGCGCCCGCGGAGGGAGGCGGCGAGGGGCGAGGGACGGCGAGAGGCGGGGGGGCAGGGCCGCCGGCCGGGGACGGGAGCGAGTGGGGGGCGTTTGACACAGGAGCGGTACTTGGGGGAATTGCGGGTGGGTGTCATCCCGGGTCGTGCTCGGAGAGGCTGCTTGCCGCTGCTGGAGCAAAGTACCTGAGTTCTCCCGGCTCGTCCCGCCTTCCCGGCGCCGGGCAGGTGTGCGTGCTGCCGGGGGGTGCGGGGCTCGCCGCCGTGACCCGCGGTGCGGGTGGGGGGTTTGTTACTATGGCGAATCTCTTCTCTGCCGCCATCAGAACCTCTGAGCCTTTTGCTGGGAATCGCTCTTCCCCGGATTTACAGGGGGCTTAGGCGTACTTGACAAGTTTGGGGTTACTTAGCAGGAACTCCCGATGTACGGAGTCGTGCCGAGTAAGAGGTAGTGGTGATTTGGCTCCGAGTGCTCTTTGGGGAACAGGCTGTTACAGCTGATTTAATGTCTCTGTAAACGCAGACTTTGAGCAGATCCAAGAAGTGAGATACTGGTGCGCTGTTCTCTAAACCATCTCTTAGCTAAACTGAGCATCCTTCAGGGGTGGGTTTTTTGTGTTCTCAAAATTTTCAGTTTCATTGCTATAGTAACAGCTGCTATGCTCATATGTTCTCTTGTGTGACATAAATAGATTTGAAGATAAATAGGATACATAAAGAAGTTAGGCTGAGTTTATCAGTCAGGTACACAAGTCTCTTACTGGAGTGAAGACCTCACCCCCCTTTCTCCTCTCACCCACCTCCCCTCCCCCACTCCAGCTGTTGTCAGCATCCTATGTATTTACTGTGTGTCTAAACACACAGATGGAATTAACTAATAATAAAATACTGTTTTGATCTAGCTCCTTGTAAGAACTATTTGCTGGATTTTTCTCATATTTAAAGGGCAGGAATTTTAAAACTTTTTAATAACACCACATTTTCATTTCAGAATGAGTAAAGTGACAGTATCGTTAAATTAAGGTGAAATTCAAGATCTCAAGATGCTTATATCAAACCTGTTGTCAAATACTGAGTCTCAGTATTTGACAACATTAAGTGGTTAATTTACCATTAAGTGACAAGTATTAAGTGGTTTATTTACCATTTATATTAATACAACTTCTTCCTGCTGTAGTCCGACACACTGTCGGCCACAGGTATTAAATACTGCCTTTGTACAGAGGAAATTTAGGATTGCCACAGACTTTGTATTTTAGGGAGTTTTCTAACTTCATTGTATAGCAAGAGTTCAAGTCTAAAAAGGCATGGATGGAACAGTCAGCATCAAGGGAACGGAGAAAAAAATCGATTTAAAACTTATATACCTGTGGCTATGAGCTACTAGTATTTGCCTGATTTTTCTTACCCTTATTCTAGCATAGAAGTCTTTGCTTTGGGAAGTTTCTAACAGGCACAGTACTTTTTCCTGTTTATGGACTGTTAGCATTGACATTTGTGTTGTATTAGGGGTTTGGTTCTGTTTTTTTTTAGAAGGCATCTTTGTATCATTGCAGCATCAAATCTGTGATGTTAGCTTCATCCAAAACTTTTTCATTTAGGGATTAAGGTTCAGTGTAATGACTCTGAAGTGCTACAGAAGCTGTTTGACCTGAGCTAGATACAAGTTGAAATGTGGATTTAGACTCTTTTGGCCTTCTTGGCCAATAATGCTTCTGTAGACATTCCTAACAGAATTTTCTACTTTGTTTTGAATAAAAGTTAAGGAACTGACATTCATTTTCTTGGATTACTTTTAAATAAAAGCTTTTGATAAGACTTCTGCCTCTTGTATAACCTGCATCTTTTTAAAGCCCACTACAGGGCGTTGCCTGATTTAGTGATTTATGGCTTTGGTGAAATAAAAAGCCTATAGGGGATACATGCATTTAGGAAACTGCTTGTGTATTTTTGTGTGGATTTTCCTATAGAAGGGAAGTAGTGATTTACCATTTGAGTTTGCTGTTGAGTTCGTAAAAATTGATAAAGCAACAGTAACCTTGCCAAGTGCTGGGCTGATCAGAGCAAACATAACAATTTACTGGGTCACTCATCCCTTAGGGATTTGATTTTAAGATATATAAAAACCCTCGTTGTTTTATTTTATAACAAATGGAAAATCGTGTAACTTGAATAAGTATTGGGTGGCAGACCTGGAGAGAGAAAGTATTGCTACTTCAAAGACTCAGTGTAAGCTACAGTAAGTTAGTAAATACCTTTTTTTTTTTTTTTTTTTCCCCACTGTGGTGACATGCCTTTCAAGTAGGAGATGAAAGGAGCTCTATCACATGATCCATTCTTTTGCAAAGGCTTCCTATTGTGTGCTCCTACCCCTTATTTTCCACTGCCATTCTTATGCATGTTCCTCGAGGCCTCACTGCCATCCCAGAGTTACACATTTGCTAGCAGTGTTAAGTGCCTGACTAATCTTCTAGACTTTCACTGGATTCACTGAAGCCAGTGGACTACTCAGAGGCTTAAAATTAGCATATGCTTTAGAGTTAGCCAGGATCAGATGTTACAGATACTACTAAGGTAATGTTAATTTCTTCCTTTTTTCTGTAAGTATTTTTGCTCAGAATAGGTTTGGAATTTGAGCTATAAGTATATTATATTTTTGCAGGAGTTTTTCAGTCATTGTGTTAGAAATCAAACCCACTGAGAAGGAGAGCAAACAATAGTATTTTGAAAAGCTAATGTTCAATGAATAGTGGTTTTGCTTCTTGTTCGAAACATCCAAAGATGAGTTTAAGTTTTTTTGGGTTTTTGAGAGAGAGAGAGGAGGAGGAAGAATGGAGAACAGTTGTCACATTGCACTGATTGATGGTTTGCCTGCTGTGATTAATGTGAAGTTGCATTGGCGTGTATGTGTCATCACAGGGATGATGTTATACTAAGTAATCTTTTTTATATCTGGCAATAAAAAAATAAGTATTTGTAGTAATTACTAGAAACACAAATGATGCATTTGTTTTAATTATTTTTGCATTATACTAGAAATTTGTCCTGGAGCTATCTAGTTCATGAATACTACTGGGTTTCAGTGTGCTAAACAAGCCAAACTGTATCAGTGCCAGACTCAGATATTTAAAAGAGAAAACATTCAGATAAGATCCTTTAAAAAAAAATCAAGCAAAAAGTTACATAGATGACCCAAAACATAATCTGTATGAGACTTAACTGAGGAGATGGCATTATTTATATTAATTTCCTACAAATTCGATTATGAAACAATTTGAAATTTTAAAAATGGCAATTCTTAGACTTCGTCCTGAATTTCAAATGAGACATGCAACAGCGTGCAATGACTCAGTTTTAACCGAGTAACCTTAGAAACGTCTTCAGAAATGGCTTTTAGTCTAGTTATATTTGTGCTGCTGCCACTGCCAAGTGTGTGTGTGTATGGGTGTGTGTGTACATGTGTATATAGTGGCTCTGGTGAGTGTACATTTGCTGTGTTTATTCTTAGTCTAGCTGCTTCATTGCCATGATCTGCAATTACAGTTTTAGAAGTAGTTTTCTGCTCTGCACTTCTCCCAAGCATATTCGACCGTCTGTTCAAGCAGCGATCCAAATCCAGAAAGCACAGTTTGTAAATACCTTCCTGCAACTTCCACACCTGGACTAAGCTTTGGAGTGCTGCTGGGAGCCAAACTGACCAAAGCAGCCCATTTTGCCTGGAAGAAGGAGTGTTTAGGACAGCAAGCAGCAGAAATATGGGAAAACTTCCAGGAAGCAGGTCATGGCACAGGTGCCCACTCTTCATGCTCTTCTGAAGCATCTTCTCGTGGGCAGAATCAGACAGACAGTACTAAAGGAGTACTGAGTTTATGTAGGAGCAAAGGGGAAGGAGTCAGTCAAAGTGTGTTGTTCATGTGGTTTGTGCCTCAGGTTATGTGGTTGGGAGCAGCCCCAATGTTACAAAGCCACTCCTGCCTCTTCATCCATGTTTAGGGAAGACTAGAGACATGTAAAGCAATGGAAAGTAGTTTTATGCATTGCCTTATTACAAAAAACTCAAAGGATAATAATCCTTCTTGAAGACTGCACCATGTTTCATAAGCTGTACTAAAAGGTTAAGTTTAAGAAATGAGTGTTGGTGTGAATCACTTGATGTAATATTAGATGGAAAGAATATTACACAGCTATCTTTCATGTAGTGGTGACACATTTCACTGAAACAAGAACTGCAGCATCCCTCTAGACAGCTCTGCTGCTACCAGCATTGAAAACTTCAGTGCTCAGCCTGATGTTTATAATCTTCTTGCAAGTAAAATCGAAATGGAAAAGAATTTTTCTTTTCTGAGTAGGACTATTTGTATGCAAGTGTAGTACTAACATTAAAATAACATCAGTTTATAAAAATGTGGCATGGGTTAATACATAAAATATGCTTTCCACTCCTTATTGAGCAAAGAGTTCTAAATTTATCAGGCACTTAATTGGTTCCTTCTGCTCCTTCATATGTTTTGCCTCACTCATCTCTCTTTGCTGAGGACCTTCCTTTACCACTTCTCATTCTGTAAGCTTTTCACTGCATATGACATGTTGAACCCTGGTTTCCTGTTGGGGCTTATGGCAGGACTTCTATTTGATGGTGAGTGTTGACCTGTTAATGTCAGTGTGCAATCATAGGGGCACAGAACAGCTTAAGCAACTTTCTGTGGGATAAGTGATGTACATTACTGCTAGCATGGATTGATGTTTCCTTTTGATTGCATGAAGATATTGGATCATCTATATATCACTAGTTCATTGCCATCTTTAAAAATATTATCTTGTTAAGTGTTAGAGGTCTTCAGTAAATCACACTGTACTTGTTTTTGTGCTAGAAGAGCTGCATTACTGTTAACTTACAGCCAAAGTGAATCTAAATCACCCCAGAATTAAAAGTTCCCTGTGC